CATTTACTATAAATACAATGCTTTGAGTGCATACTGAAAACGCTAATCAAAGGTATATTTGTAAATCAAAATCAATTAAGAGCTTGGCTTCAAAATGCAGCTTCCACCCCAGCAAAGTACAAAGAAGAAATACTTAAGGCAAAAGTGTACAACAATTCACTAACCGAATTTGCAATGCACTTTCATGCTCCCAAGATGAAAGTATTTCAAAGATCACTGCTCATTCCTGCTCTCTTACACCTTCCCTGGTTGGAATAAGGCATTTTTACACCCGCAGGATGGATGAGCCCTCATTTACAATGGTTTTCTTCCATAAACAGGGAGGTGTTAAAATTGATCTCCAATTAAGACCACCAAAGTGATACCTACAGATTTTTCTGAAGGTGGCAATATTGGCAACATTGCATACTACATCTGATAAAAATTACAGACTAACACTGAGTTTGTGCTCATTGCCCCTAAGAAAATACTTTTAATGAACCAAGAGCTTCAACATCACTGATTTGAATGTTTATGGTGAAGCACTTTACAAATCACTTCATATATTTTTGTCTCAAAAACTATGATTTTTCCAGTGCTTGTATATGTACTATCTAAGTAATGTCAACTTATTCATATCCACAAAGCTTAATATAGACCTAGGAAATATTAGATGCTTAATAAATACTATGGAATAGGCAGCAAACTGATAACAAGCCATGTTTCCATAAGTTTCCTTTTATTAATTATCACCATTATTATAAATCACATTCCATAACATCATGAAGTTTATCTGAAAGTCAGAAAAATTTCAAATAACTAGAGAACCATTATATAATAAATGAGGTAAATTCGATGGAAAGATAAGTGATTCATGCAACAAAAATTTTCATCACATACATTCTTAAAGCAACCAAGCATTCTGCACCAAACATTTATAGATTAGCACCAATCAAAATACACTCTACTATAAAATAATTACTGTAAGTTATTATACTTTTTCTATATTGTCAATAGAAATCTAGATGACATTCTCCAAGTTATATGGAAACTAAATTGCATCTATAAAGGGCTTTTTGACTACTGAAAAGTTAAAGGTTTACTCTTAACCTATGACTCAGTATTTTCAATATTTAATTAAATTATCTATTCCTTAAGAAAACTTAATGGTCCTTCGCTCCAAATCTTCACCATTCCCCATCTCCTCATAAAGCCTTATAATCAATAATCCTGGCGTTGAACTCTATATTGATGGCATTTCTATTAAGATAACAAAAATCAATCTATCAAAATTAGGACACCTGATTCCAAGTGAACTTTTCCTAAGTTGTTGTATTTTTAAAGTTCACAGTTAATCAAAATTCAAATGTGATTACATTTTCCAATGAAATCAAACTTGATCACTCTGAAAAATGGGAAGATAAGTCATGCCAAATATTCAAATTTTCATTGAAATTATATGCCAATCAGACTTTTACAGCCAGCTAATTGAAACAGCATTATACATTTTTAGCAAGAATGGAGGATCATTTAATGTTGCAATCAACCTTCCTGTTTATTGCCTCCTTCTATCAATTAAAGTCAGAACATAATTTTTAGATGAGACTTTATACACTGCTGACTTGGGAAGCTCACATAAAATTTCCTGGGAGTATAATGGGTAACCAAACGTTCTAACTTTTATGGAGAAAAGATATGTCACTTGTTATGCATCTCAACTGAAATTTGTTGTTTTCATAAACAAAACCAAACAATAGTAATATTCTAAAAATTTACACCTTGCTTTAGTTTTAACTTTCTGATTCCCCATTCAAAAAATAATTTATTTTGGAAAACCAGGATGAACTTGACAATTGTACTAATAATCAAATAAATCAGCTCTTGGATATTCTCAAACTTAATAACTAATATTAAGCATAGTTGCCAAGCATGCTGGCTATAATCCCAGTTTTCAGTAGGCAGAGTTAGGAGTATCAATTGAAGGACAATCTGTCTCAAAAGCCCCACCAGTGCCCATTCTTCACACACCAAGAGGAAAGCGAAGTCTCCCTCAGATGTCTCATCTCAAATTTATTCTTCCCGTTATGATTTTCCCCTCTCCTTGCTTTTCTACTTTACTGATTTCCATTTTCCTTTTATGTTTTCTTTTTCTATTTTTTCATGAATCCAGTTATGAAAAGGAATTAGAGGTACAAAGCAAGTACACCAAACTAAACCCAACTTTGAGACAATTTTAATTTCATGAGACTCATGCCCAAATAAATAGCTTTTGAGTTCTAATGGCTGGGCATGATATGCAGACAATGAACTAAAGGGAGGGGGAGGGTTTTCTCTTTGCTGGATTGAACTAAGACTTAGGCCTGGCTTTAGATAGTAGTGGGAAGGGCTGATTCCAACAACAGTGGTATTAGACCATACATAAACCTGTAAGCCCCATTGCCCAAAGACCAGGTAGTTTCCTAGGATTCTTGAAAGATAATGCCAAGCCAAGGAGCAGTTGACTTCCTGGGATTCTGGGAGTTGTAGTGCTTGGAAAATAACAACAAAGCCTCATGGAAAAGTAGGATGGCCAATGGGGTTTGTTCATAGAAGCATCGCCAACCCGCCAACCCGTGTCTCGAGGCCCCTCAGACGAAAAGTTCCGGGGGATGGTCCTAACCAAATTCCATCTTGAACAGTATTTAATATTTTAACAAAAGCTTGCTTTAATTTGGCCAAAATGGTGGAACTGGGTTTTTGCCAGTGAACTTCAGGCTTAACAATAGGAATCTGAAGATATTAATATCTATTCTCGAATTAATGATAAGCTCTCGGGGCAACAGAAATTTGAAGGTTTCTAATCAAAGAAAAATGTTATATAGAGAGGTAAGCATTGATTCTAAAATGAATGGCCAGCCAAGGGCTACAGGGGAGAGCTGGGAGGAAGGGAGGCAGAGAAACCCATGGCCAGGAGGATGTATGCTGGGGCAGACATGGAAAATAGTAACTGTTAACTTCAAAGGAGTTTAAGCTTATACTTGGTCACAATTGGATAGAAATGGTCAACACTGTAGACCAATCCCTTTGTCCATAAAATAAACAACAGTGGTTTGAGTAATTCAATAACAGCTCCTTACCACTTCAGGGCAATCATTGCAGAACCTTTCTCAGGCTAAAAGTGTAATTGGCTTCGGATCAATAAGTGTTTTCTCCTAGAAGGACAAAGGTCTTGTTTTCTATATATATATATATATATATGCAATATATGCAACATTTTCAAATCAGAACCAAGAAAATATATTGTGAAAGTTGAGATTACCCTAAACAGCAAGATCGCTTACTGCCCTTCGAAGTTTATCTCAACTGATCATTTATTCATGATACTATAAAAATCCAAATGCTTTCAATTTTGATTGTTAGGTATTTGCTGAAAGGCAGCTGAAATTGCTTTCCAGAAGGTTGCCATTTTATGACAAGTGCAGTTCGAATGGAAATTTACAAGGGTTCAATAATAGTTATGCCAAGGTGTTATTTTCTGTTTATCCTCCCCCGCCCCTCAAGATTAGCAAGGAATTCAAATCTTGTGGTCAACGTGAAACTTTAGCTACCTTACTGGAAATGCTGGAAATATAATGAAAAAAAAAAAGATTAAGAAAAAATAAAGAAAGTCTTTCAGAATTAAACCCTTGTCAATTTGCATTAATTTAGTGTGGTGATCAGTGGTTTTCCTGATCATCTTAAGACTGATGCCTAAGGCCAGTTTTGATAAAGAAGAAAATGTTGAACTGATCAAAGACCCTTTGAAGGCTTAGCAGAACACAGACAAGGTAAACATAAACAAAAAGATCAAACTTCCGTTAACAAGAGACTGAGGCAATCAACAACACTCAAGTATAAAACAGAGGCTGTAGAGGATGAACTGTGTCTGAAACTTCAAGAAGATGAAGACTCTAGGCAAAGCAAGAATCCCTTAGTTTTTTGTTTCCTGGTTTGTTTATTTATGCTAATGGGGATGGATCACTGGGGCTTGCACATGTTACTCAAACCCTGTCCCGCTAATATGTACCCCGGCACCCCTGACCTAGAGTTCTGAAGATGTCATATTTTCCTGTTCATTATTTTGCAAGACAGAAAAATACTAAGATCCCTTAGAAGTTAAAGCAAGTGAGTGCATCTTTCTTTTCTTCTCAAGTAATCGAGAGAACTGAGGGAATGGAGAATTACAACCATTTTTGGTAACTCCTTAGAAGTAGGATTGCAAACAAGGGTCTGAACTAGAAAGTCTGCTATGGAAACTAAAGCAAAAGCGTCTCTTTCATAAGCTGTTATTTGCCCTTTACTATGCTCTGGCTCACTTTGTTTGTCAAGTTCAGCAGAGCTCAGACAGAACAGGAATGATTCTCAGAACTTTCCCAACAGCTATTGAAGCTAGTACAAAATGCCCCAGAAACAATCATGTCTGCCGTTTTCACATCCCAACTTAAATTTTCACATCCTTAAAGTTTCCTTCCTCATTCCTCCCACACCATGTAACTTTAGACAATTTTTACTCTGGCAAGGAAAGAGGTAAGAATACCGAATCCAGATCTTTGGATGCCACCAATACTACAACCCCCTGCTTCCAGCCAGATGGTACAGTACTACTGAGCAATAACTTACTTTATTAACTTGGAAAATCTTCCTAGAGCAAGAAATTCACTCCCAAATGTCTTTGCAAGCACAAAATTGACATGACTTCAGATTCAAAAATAAAAATAACTTTTTTCCTAATATGAAGTACATGTTAATAATAGCACTAAGGTTTATTAGCTCCATCCCATATTCATATTTACTGTAACAATGTGTTTAAGGAAAAACATAAAACAGATACATATATATATATATATATGTACACACAC